GAGGCGCGGCCGCGGTGCGCGGGCGGTTGCTGGGACCCCCCGGCCGTCGAGGAGCCCGAGTTGATTCCTGGGGGGTTTTCTGAAGTCACTGGAGGGGCCGCAGCAACGCGGTCTGTCTAATTTTACACAGGGGCTTAGTTTCCTTGAGAAGCTCTTTCAGTCCTCTGCGTCCCTTTGCGTTAAAAAAAAGAATAATTTAAATTAGTATTTAATATTAAAATCGATGCTGGAAGTAGCCAGATGGATTTTTTTTTTCCAAAAAAATGACATGTCTGGTCCCTTTTTAAAGGCAAAAATAGTTCTTACTTGAACTTAAATCAGAAGAACATCGTAATAAGTAGTATAAGTTAAGGAGCTCCTAATCAGTATAAAAATTATTCCTACGTCTCACTGAGAGTGTAACGAATGTTTGATAAAAGCGTCAGTAAGATCTCGGTGGTGTTTAACCAACTTAACTGTTGGTGTAAATACATCAGATGGTGGTTTCGTAGGTGGAAAGGTATGAAACAAGCTTCTTTACAGTTTTGATTTCCTTAAAGCAAGCATGCAGATAACTTTTTCTTTGCTCCTGTAAAATCTCTCTCTCATATGTCTTTTAGGAAAACTGTAATCTTTTTTTTTTTTTTTTTTTTTTAACGGGACCATCCGATATGTTCCAGAAAGCTCCCAAGACAAAATTATCACTGATGAAGATGTCTTTGCAACACTACTGAAAGTATTTAAAGCTCTGTTCATAAATGACTTTAGTAGACAAACCCACATCTTGGCCATACTTCCGGAAATTAAATGTAAATATCTGGAACTACTACTGACTGTTGAGCTGGAGAGATCGACTGTAAATTCATGTAACCATCAGAGTCAACGTCTGTTTAGTCCGGAGGAGGTTCTGTTTAATACGCTAGGGTTCAGTATTACTCGAGACCGAAGTTCACTGGTTTCTGCTGGAACGGGAGTCTTTGTTACCAAAGGTTTTGTGCCAAAAGGGACCGTTGTGTCTATGTATCCTGGTAATGAAATATTATTCTTATTTCTGAATAAGATAGATGCGTTTTCCAACTCTCTAATTGTAGTGCCAAAGTTCAGCACCAATTTTTACTTTACAGGTTTTATTTTTGTCATTCCTTAACAAAATCACAAGTTATGATGAATATTTCTGTGTATAAACTGACTAGAGTTATTTTCAAAATAAGGAAAGCAATATTCTGTTGGGGGGGGGGAGATTGTTTTGTTTTTTAAAAACCTTTAAATGCTCAAGGTCTGATTTTTAGCTGATTGAAAATTGATCCAGATTCCTTAAACACAAGCACACAGGAGTGATTTCACACAGATGAAGAAAACAGATTGATTCTTTGGGATTTCTCTTTTGGAGAAGTGTTTGCAAAACTGGGGTTTTGAGGTCTCCACACAGATCAGCAGACAGACTATGGATTTTTTTCAAAGCACAGAAATATGGATTAGAGAATGAAAGTAAAACCCTTATTCAGTGAAACTCTCCTCCCTGAAGCATATTTGGCAGATCAACACTTCTCTATTCCTTCTCCCTATTTCTTGGAACTATATTTGCTTACATTGCTTAAACAGATTTGTAATTTTGTCAGCATGGCCGAGCTGGTACAGCTCCATTGAAAGGCTTTGGATTTGTTTCCATTTCATTCTGTCAACAGAATCATCCCCCATACGTGGTCCCTGTAGCTTATGCCAGCGGGACAGGGTTAGGATGAGTCTGAGAAGTTAGGTGGCAGAACATGTTTTGCCATGCCTCAGTAGGAGTGTCTGGCCGTTAGCTTTGACTTGTAAACTGAGCAAATATCAACTAACAGGGAAATAACTTGTAACGCTGCAGGCCTCTTTGGACGCACTAGAGGTGAGTATAGACTCACTGAGAGCGTATCATTCCTGCCAGAAAATCCATCATAACAAGAGGATGAGCTGCTGAAATGCCTTCCTTTTCCAGGGGTAGGAAAGAAACTGCAGGGCTGGATGCTGTGGGGATAACAGGTCTGTGCTGTCCTGCCTGCTGTTTGGCAGCTGGTGCAGCCTGCCAGGAGGACCTTCTCCACCTAGCTCTTTGCAAGATTTCAAGCCCGGTTTCCTGCAGAGGGCTGCTGAAGATATAATAGGTGTGAGGGATGCTGGACTACAATACCATGAGAAATTGCAAGCCTCACTTGTTCAGTCTGCACTTTGAACCCAGGCCAGGCCAGGTTAAATCCTGTCCAGATACTTGGGGCACATTCTGCTGAAATGATTTGCCTGTTCTCCTCCTCATTTTGGCATTTTCCCTCTATTGTATCAGCCAAAACCTCTGATTTGGAGCGGGAGGAGGGGAGTGGGGGATCTTTGCTGTGTGTGCACTTTTCAAAGCGTTCTCTCACACGGTAGTAATAATGAAGCAAAAAGAGTTTTCTCTTACCTGTCACTCTGTCTCCTTTGGGTAAACCGATTCTGACAGTTTAACTTCTTTTCTTCTGAAATATTCATATCTGTCTTGCAACAGGTACAGTATACAGAAAGTATGAACCCATCTTTTTCCAGTCCCTTGGCAATCCCTTTATTTTTAGGTGCATAGATGGTGTTCTTATTGATGGGAATGATAAAGGACTATCCAGAGCAGTGTACAGGTGAGTTGTCAAAAGAAATGGGAATGTCACTGAACTGGCATTTTAAAAGGTGGTACTAATTATCTCTGTACCTTGCTGTCTAACTCTAAATCAAGATGTATTTCTGTGAGTATCACCCATTTCTGTGTGTCTCCATCTGTAAAGACAAGATGGCCCTTGATGAAAACCAATGTACAGACACTGTCTCTTGTTTAAAGAAAAAAAAAAAGTTTTAATAGGAGCAGGATGTGGCATACCATTTTCAAAATATTCCTGAGCTTTTTAATCAAGTCTGCTTGGTGGATTTAAAAAACAGCCTCTGTATGGACTTGCCAGCACCTAAAGGGTGAATCTGGCAACTCTGGCACTGGTCTCCAGATAAACAGCACATAATATACGAGCAGTAAGCTTTCACAGCAAGCCCAAGGCTGACATGTACTTGACTGCTCTAACTCCCATTGAAATGTAATCTGTAGCAACTTCTGTGTAGTGTGCAAATGTAACAACTAAAATCTTATGAATAAAAAGCAAAAAGGGTAATAAGGGCCTACTTGTACCCGGTTTGAACTCTGGGAATGAGTTTGCAATTGGCGTCGCAGTGAGCCTTCGCACCTCTAGAATTGAAGAAGATTTGTTGACTGTTCTGTAATTGTAATGTGTGATATAGATTTCTGGTGTTGTACATGGCATTTTCATGCTGGCTCCTCCACTAGAGTCAGAGAGAAGCCACACACTGATAGGAGACTTTAGTGTATTTTTTAAAGTATTATCAAGGTTTTTTTTCAAGAATTATTGTATCCACCAAGTGGGTTGGACAGCTGTAACTTTACCCAGCTACCATGGCTGTTTCTACGGGCAGAAGTACAGATCACCGGTCAAGTGAAGGAACAGTGTTTCAATTTAATGCTGTGGTTCATTCTAGGTCTTGCAGTAGGAGAGACCAACTCGGTCCATTTCAAATGAGTGATGTGAGCTGGCTCACGGCTGCCCTGCAAAACCCACTGGCCGTGGGACAGTACGTGAACAACTGCTCACATGGTAAGTTACCAGGTAGATTTCTCAGACTTGAGTTTGACTTTATGGGTATAAATTACTTTGGGAGTGAGATGGAGAGTCAGAAACTGATGGTGGGGGGCAAAACTGCTGTTTGACTGTTTAATAATACTTTTTAGGCTTCCTTAAGAAATAAACAAGGTCCACCCAAAGTCTAGGAAACTGTTGTTATAGCATAGCTGTGGGACATGAAGAGAGGAACTATTTCTTCCTCCTCACAAAATGTGTTGGTCCTGAGTTTGGGGGACTAACAACTGGCTCATGGGTTTGGCTGTGAAATTCTGAAAGCTTAATGGCTACCAAACCTAGCCTGTAAGCGGCTTGCAGAGCCTGGGTTACACTCATAATATCCTGCCTTGAAATAGCATCAAGGAAGACGGCTGAAATACTGAACCGGGTACTGACAGGCGCAGAGACAAAGCTCTCTCCCACATAACTGTTTCTTCTAGGTCCAAAGTCCTTGTAAAGAAAACTCCCCTGTACCTGCTAGATAGATGGTGCTTTGCTCTCTGGCTATCTTTATGACACCTTTTGCTGCCATGAAAATTGACACCAGGATAACTAGTTCTTTTTAACTTACAAACAAACTTACAAGTAACTACAGCATAGTTTTCAGGTCTGATGAAGCAGGTGCTACTTTTGCAGCAGTACATTTGATATTTTTATGCATCTCTAAACCCTATTTAAGCATCTCGATATCACAGAGCCTTTTTTTTCTTATTTCTAGACAAAGCAGCCAATGTCTGTTATCAGGAGTTTGACGTGCCAGGATCTTTTCCAGTAGAACTGAAACAGTATCTTCCAAACATCGTCTACAGCCATGCCATACAGAGGTTAGCAGTGAATCAAAGCCTTCATAGATCTGTGTGATAAAAAGTATCCTATATGTGAAAACCAACATGGTTGAAGAGGAAGGTTACTCCATATAAAGATGATTTACCTGAAAGTGTGTATCTATAAGGAAAAGCGTTAGCTCTTTGAATAGACACATTTTAAGCAAATTACAAGACTGTCATTTCTTATTGTTCCTTTTTTCTGCATCTTCACAAATGGCATCAGCATGGCTCTGAAGGCACAGTCTTACAAGCCATGGTTGCACTATGGTGTGATTTGTGAATCACATAAATCACTACTTATGTTTTGCTAGTATTACAGTAATGATATTTTTCAGTATATATTTCAAATGGAAATAGTAACCCTTAACCAATCAAAGTCCTTCTAAGATAGTTGAGATTTAGGGTTCTCACCCTCCTCTTCTCCGTGTCTTCTGCTTAAGGAGCATGTGAGGAATAAGCCGATGGATTTACAGGGAGAAACTTAAAAGGGATTTGTATTGAGACAAGTGAAACATTTGCAAAACTTTTGGAAAGCTCTGTCAGATTTTTTTTTTCTTTTTCGAAATGTGAGAAAAGTGACAATTGGATGAATATTTGAATGGAGCTGTCTGGAAGTGAGTGCCCCTGCACTGGGATGCAGTTAAGAGTAACTTTCAAGCTGTGAAGATGTAAGTTTTAATGTTGATCCACAATTTAATACACCAAGGAAGCTACTCTTCTGGTCCACTTGCTGCCTCAGGGACCAAACAGTTCACTTCATTTAGAAGATGTATAAGGATTTTAGAGCAGATCATCTAGGCTTTTAATGTAAATCTGTAGCTATTTTAAAACTCTGAAATTTGGTTGGAGAGAGTTATGGTGCGTATTGGAAAAAAATAGCTTTTCTAATTAACCTTAGACTTTGTTGAGGCAAGGTTAAATATGGGAATATGCATTTGTAAGCTACAGATAAATGAACAAAAGCCAATAAAAGAGGAACTAGGACTGAACTTGCAGGAAGCCCGGATGCTACACTTGAAGTGTGCAAAGGTAGCGTACCTAAGCTATGGGCCTATTTCAGAAAGGGGAAATTTTGCTTTCGTCCTTGGAATCTGTCCAGGAAACAGATCATCAGTTCTCCCAGTGTCCAACCAAAAGCCAAATGATCCCCTTCACTTCTAGCTGTTCGTTTTGATATTTATATTTACAGTTCTAATAACTTTGGTAATCTAATTTATAAATCCTTTTCTCTCTTATAAAAGGGATTGCAGCGCTTGCTAATCTTTTTGTTTGATTTTTTTTCAAAATGGGAGAGCACTGCATTTCTGAACAGTGGGGACTGTCTGGGGTGATGCTATTCTTCACTTTCACATCCAGTGTCATCAGAGGACTCTCCCTTCCTCCCTAGATCACATCTTCCAGCTTTAGGACATGTTCATTTATTCATGAAACTTGAAGAGGGTTTAGCGAAGGGATTCCTAAATTGGTAATAAGAAAACTATTTGCCAGCCACCAATTTTAGCATGGTTTATGGAGAAGTCACCCCTTACTGTACGTTACAGCACGAGACTGATTTCAGTTCAGAGTTGTCTTTCTGGATGTTGTTTGCCTAAGAGTGGGTTCAGCCAACCAGCACCTGTGGGTAGGCATGTTTAGAAGAATGGTTTCTGCTCTGTTAGCCTTGCTGTAGCTTCTTGTCCTATGTGTATTAGTATCTTTTTCCCCTGTCTTGACTGATCCATTTCATTTCTGAATAGCTGTGTGAGTAGAAGCATTATTTGCCCATACACACATGTGCTATGCTGTGGGGGGTGGGGGTAATGATACCATTTTTATTTGTATTTACTATCTGTATTTCAACATCATTTTCACAGGCTCCCTGGCCTGTCTTATATGTGTTACCCTCAAAAGTAATCTAGATGGAGCCATTGTTTTAGCTCCTTGCTATGAAGAATTTAAGAAATTAAAAATGAAATGGAATTGTTCACTTTCCCATGTTTTGCTTTTCTTTTTTTCTGCAGCCACCTGAGGTGTGTAGTGCTTGTTACTCTCAGAGACATCAAGCAAGGAGAGGAACTTTTTTCCAATTACTTCACTGTCGTCAACTGAATTAATAGGTTGAAATCTGTTTTATTAAAATAAATTAACGGTATATGTACTTCAAGCTTCATGAGCATCTTTGCATAATGGAGAGCTGTGCTTTGTTGTTTAGAAAGTGAGCTGCAGCCTTGTGTTTCCCTGAAAAGACTCCACATCTGATGCAGAAGTGAAGGTTTAGCTGTTTACATCATTAGGTTCTCCGCTGCCTATTATTATTTAAAGTTAATTGGTTTCAGTTCATAAAATTAAAATGTAAGTTCTGGACATATCATTTCATCTTCTAGTTTGTTTAGTTGTCCATAACTGTGACTCAGTTTTAATCTTTTGCCATTTCACTTCTCATACTTGCAACAGAAATAATTTGTAAAAATTGCCTGCCTCAGATGATGTTCAGCATTTTATGGTAATTGTTAGTTCCTGTTTGGGTTTTCCTTGGAACTGGTTCCATTCTCTTTGGTATCTTCCTTTTTTAAGAAAGTATTTCAGTGTACCCAGTTGCCCAAATCTTGTATGAAGCCTTTTGGAAGAATGTCAGTATACACTTCTAATGTGCCTGCATGGTGCGCTATCAATCACAAGCAGGCTGACTTGAGCCACTTTACCTATCCCGTTTTGGGGCAGGAGGAAGGACTACTTGATACCTTCAGATCCCTTCCAAGCCTAATTTCTGTGGTTCAGTTAAAGTTTCCTGGCATGTGCCATCTTTCATAGCTTTTATTCCCACAGAGAACTTTGTGTTACAGAGTAACTAAAGGAAGTGATGCCAAACAACAAATGTGTTTCACACTTTTTAATGAGTTACTGGCATAAGCAGAGCCAGCCATTCCCACATTAATTCTTGATGCTGTCTGCAAACTGTTTTCACAAAGTAAACAAGAGACAGCTTGTCAATCTTTGGGTCAGGCTAAACAGCTTTCTTGGGAAAGAAGAATCACCCATGTCTTTGCTGCAGAAGTCCAAGCAAGCCTCTGAACTGATTTGAGGTTGGCATAAGCCCATGAGAAAAAAGGAACTGGGAAATTGTGTGTTCTAACCAAACTGGTGGTGACCAGGCAGGCAAGATGGCCTTAGCCGTAGAAGCAGCTAGTCTCCTTTGCAGAAGACAAAGCTTTTCATCACCTTTATTGGTCTACTTCCACACCTGAAACTTGTCTTTCACATTCATCTGAAAGTCCTTCTCAGGCAGAGAAGGCCGGTTCTTTCAGGCAGATTTGAGCAGCAGAGCTTTGATACCTTGGCATGGAGCTCAGCACAGGCTGTACAAGCTTTATGGAGATGCTGGGGACACTTCTAGTAACAGTGCTTATTGTGTCTTCACTGTATGATAACAGATCAGAGCAGGTGGTGATCTGCAGTCTGCTGAAGAGGACACTGATCCCTCACCACTCTACCGGTCCCCTCTCTCCAGAGCCTTTTCCCCACAGCTCCTTCTGGGAGGAGGTTATTGGGCATCTCTTGATCTCTGCAGGGTTGTCAGGGTGCCTGTGGTGTTGCTTAGCTCAGGGAGGTAACAAAGCAATACGAGTTAATGCGGCTTTTATTTTGCTTGTACATTGGTCAAAGTTTATGAGTAGGTGGAGAATGCTAGTTTCAGCATGCAAGAAAAAGCTGGTGCTATTCTCGTTTCTCTAGGATGAGATGCTGTCATGCAAAGGCATAGATTGCTATAGCTGTTTCCCTTATATGCTTGTTAATCATTCTTAAGGGACCTGATTTTAAAGTATTCGTTTATTAAGAAATAAATAATTTATTAAGCATGGTTTACTCTACTGCAGTTGTAAACTCCTCTCTCCTGAGGTGTGAGTGCTGCACAATAGTGGAGGATTACAGTGCTGAAATGCAGGCTGCATATTACTAACAAGATGCACGGGAAGAGCTTCGCCTTACTGAAATACTGAAGCTTGACAGCCTCCCTTAGGGGCTGATCCTGCGTGAGGGGAAGCAAGACCTGGCCTGGAACTGGCAACAGCAATTGATTTCTGTCTGCTGATTGATAGCTATAGAAAACCAAAAGCTTATAGGAGGAAGAGGTACAGTCAGGTGGTCCTTCCTTTGTTACCAGTTGTGAGACATCATTGACCTGGCTCTTCAGTGAGACCATTTAGGCACCAGTTTCCAGTTGAGTTTGTGAGGTGTTAGACTTTTAAACGCCTTTGAAGAGCTGAGCCTATCCCTAAGTAAGTCTTCCACCCATACAACACGTTTGTTTGTTGTGTTTGTTTTAAAGACGTGAGGTGTATGCAATGATGTGATGAATTAAGATTTGATTGATTAGTTAAAATGAGATGTTCCCAGTTCTGGGCTCCACGGTGTAAGAAAGAGCGATACATACTGAGGTGAGTCCAGTGAAGGGCCACTAAGTTGATTAAGGGGCCAGAGCATCTCTCCTATGAGGAAAGGCTGAGAGAGCTGGGACTCTTCAGCCTGGAGAAGAGAAGCCTGAGAGGCAGTTTAGTTAAATGCTGGCACTAGCAGAACGGCCTACGGAAAGGCTGATAGTTTAAAGCAAGCCAGAGCAGTACATCGGTGTCTGGTCAAAGTACCTCAGGCAGTTGGGAAAAAGAGGAGATGCCTCTTGGAGCCGAATGCAGAGGAGGCAACACATGGAAGTACAGGTCAGCCCAGTACTAGTATTATTTAAGCTGGATTGAAAAACTGCTCATAGGACTTTTGATCTCTAGTGTACAGCTGTGAGTATGATTTAGAGTAGCTGGACATGAGAAAGCCTTTGTCAGTTTTCCTGGCTTAGCCCACTCGTGTTTCAAATCCCTGTCCAAGTGGGGTTGTACAGGGAGTTCTCATCGTGGACTGGGCTGGGAGGCAATCACTTGCAGCTCAGCGTCCACCTTTCTTCTGAAATTTGTTCTTAATCCTTCTGAAACATTACCACTGAGCATGTCAGTAGAGTGTATGTATGTGAGCAGGGCAAACCATGTCCTAGTGCTTTAGATGCAGGGGTACTGAGGATCAGTTTGTCAGGCCCTGGAAAAAAAAATCAGTTGTACTACTGAAGGATGTATATGTACAGTATGAGTGAGTGAGTGAGTGAGTGAGTGAAAAAAAGTGTGTGTGTGTGTGTGTGTGTGTGTGTGTGTGTGTGCGCGCGTGTGTGCATATGTGTGTGTGTGTGTGTATAACTTGCATTTGTGTAGGCACTGAGGCAACAGTTCCCCCAGGTACCTGAGCAACTCCCATGGTGCCAACACCAGGAGAAGGGAAAGCGTATGTGGGTGTGCAAAAATGATTTTTCACTTATCCTTCTCGCCTCCTTGATCTCTACGCCGTCATGTCTTCCCATGTAACTACTCATCAGACCCTACTGTGAGCTCATCTGACTTGCTGACATGGTAACAACAACAGAAAGCCTTTTTTTTTGGCTTGTTTTATTTTCTGCTATGTCAACGAGTTGAAACAGCTCCTAGAAGGGTCAGAAAGAGCAAGCAAGCAGTCTGTAGTTGGTGGCTGAGAGGTGCTAATTTGACTCACTGTGTCTCATGAGGCCATGCCTCAAGATGCTTTCATTTGGTGCACACAGGTGAAGCTGTAGTTACCAAACAGTTCCCAGTTGCCTGTGGGTAGCTGTACTCCTTGGCTGCATGTTCCTTCCCCTAGTTCTAGCTCTGGAGCTCACCTGACTGCAGCCTATTCAATAACCACACCAAAAGGAAGTTATTTTTTTTCCTGCTAAGTTAATGAATTGAATCAAATCTGTTTGCAGAGTAGTCAGACGTGTGCTAGAATTGAGGCAAAGGAGGGGGCGCAGGTAAGGACCAGCTGCAGGGGGGGAAAAGTCCAACACGCCAGGGCAGGAAGAGGCTCAAGACCTCAGCATCGCACAAAGGCACCAGGAGAACGTTTTGGTGAGGCACCCTGACCTCTTTCCATAGCAGTAGGCTAAGATTTGCTGGAAACTTTAAACTACTTTTTAATTCCTTTTTTTTCTTTTTTTTGGCTTCAGAGAAAGCCAAAAAAAAAAAAAAAACAAAAGCACCCAAGAAACAAGTAAGAAGTGCTTTAGCAAGCTGGAGTCGAGGCATCTAGTTTTTGCCTTCTCTCATTCTGCATTTGAGTTTGGACACAACTCAAACTTAGTGATTCCATGTGTAAGTACCATACAAGCTTCAGGGGTGCAGAACCTTTGCAGTGGCAGAAGTGAATACGTCCTGAGATATTACTTTAACCACCTATATTTCCATTAAAATAACTACTGAGTTGGGATTTGACGTTTTGAATTACAGATACTAAAACCATTTAAATCCTCCAACATTACATGGCTAACCATTAATTGTTTCAAACCAAGGAAGGACTAGATTGGGTTGGTGATTACAGTTTTTGCTTTGTTTTCCCTCTCTCTGCCCCAGTGTTTAACTATGATCTTTATGCTCCACCACTAGAAAAAGTGAGGTACTACATGTAAGCAGAGAGTTTTGGATAGGTAGTTTCTTTTTGCTTGCTATAGCAAATATCATTAAAAACAAGAACAAACAAAAAAACACAACAACCTCCCCCACCAAAACCTCTTAAGTGTGCTATTCTTGGAGAAGGGGAAGCAAATCTCATTGAACTACTCGACAAATTACTTCTTTTACTATTCAGATTTATATCAACTGCACTAAGCAAAGTAATTAAAAAAAAAAAATCCTTTCTTTACCTGAAGCTTTACTGTGCTAGCTATTGCACAAATAAGGACGTTGGGCCTAGGTAGTTGCATCACTAATCCTTTGACAGAATTGGTATTTAAGTTCTTGGACCCTGAAAAGCACTTGTATTACTTTTAAGATTAGCATCTGTTTTCTTGATGGAAAGCAAAAAAAAAAGCAAAGCAGCTTTTAGTATTTCAAATATTCTATCTTAAGGCTGAGCACAGTAGAATTGTTCATATCCACACCTGTGATCTAGCCTGCTGTGTGAACGTAAGTGGATTTAAGGATTTGGGCAAGTTTTCTTATACAAAGGAATGGGAGTGTACACCCCACTGCTTACCACAGGGTTATACTGCAGTCATTAGTTACTTTGAAGCTACTTTTAAGCCTCATCTAAGAGCTTGCTATGCTTAAGCCATAGTGTTTGAGGGAAATCATTGCTAACTATCTACCTACATCGTTTTTAAGTTTTCACTCTTCCCTCTGTAACATTAGGTAGAATGGTAACGTGCACTTCAGTGTTCCCTGGAGCATCTTAAAATGCATTCAGAGTTACTGCTAAATAATTCTGAAAATGAAGTGGTAAACATGGTGCAGATGCATGAAAAGCTTCACAAGTGAAGAAAGGTTTCCAGACATTTATTTCTGGAACTGTACACCAGGTATTAAAGTACAACAAATACAAAATAATGCTCAAAAAAATCAGTGTTTATGTACAAATATTAAAACCAATGCAACAATAGCGACTTCCTCTTGAACATCTGATACTAAAGCCTGTTCCGATTGTCACTAAATCTGTTGTTATGCACAGGGTACTTACTTGGAACTGAGAATAACTGGAATCTCTGTTTCATTAAGAGGACTATAACCATACCTACTGTATTTTACAATTGATAGTATTTTCCTTCTTTTAATGAAAAATAGGAATAAAAAAAATAGTAACCTTGTCATTATTTTATAAATTACTGTATTTAGTTTCCCCGTCTGTAGACAATGTGCTTGTAACGCTGGGCAAAATAGTGTCCCTGTTGGTCAGTTTATCCATTAGTTTACATTCAAAGCTGAAATATTCACTAGAGACTTTGGTTAAATTAAGTAGTATCACTATGTTCTACTGGATCTGAAGTTTTCATACATTTTGACCCTCAGTTTTAAAAAGTAAAAACAGGAAAGAATTGCACAATTCATTGACCTAATTGTACACAATTTAGTATTCTGCAAAGTATTGTACATCCTTCAAGTAAATTCAGCAGTTTGACCATGACAAGAGGAAAACTAAACATTTAAAAATCTAACATGAAAAGATGATGTATGACTAACAAAAATAAAAAGTATTGCTATAATCACAGCACCAGTTACACTTCTAAATGAATCAGCTATCCTCTTCAGATTCCCTGTACATAAAAAGGATACATTTACCAACACTGCAATTGCCCATTACGGATTTTTGGTTTGTTTGTATGAAGAAAAAGTGTGGCAAAGGACAAAGAATTCATCACAGTTTGTTATAAGAATTGTGCTTCACCATCTAAGAACCAAGGCAGTATTTCTTCATACGCCTGCAATTCAGTTATCTTCATGCTGACTTTCAAAACGCAATTCTTTTAATAAACAGTAACAAGCTCTCCATTTAAATGTTTAAACTGAGAGAAAAATAAGTAAGTCCAGCTTTCAAAAGAAAATTTTCAATAAATAGCTATTTTACATGGATAAAGTCATAGTGGTACAAATTTATGAATGTCACATCAAGCATGCACAAAAATGTTACTATACACAGAAGTAGTCAGAAAATATTGAAATAGATATCTAAAAAGATATGAAGAATTTACATATTTACAAAATCTTGCAAATTATTGCCTCATTTTAACAAGGAATTAAAAGTAAACGATACCAGCTAGCTAGCCAACAGGCTAAATAAGATCAGCATTTAAAAATCTATTTGACTAGCCGGAATTCATTTTTCTCTCATATCATTTTCTGAATTTTGGTCAAAAGTCTTTATTAAATAACTAAAGTGTCCATTCAACTTGCTGACAACCCAAACCTTAGACAAGTCTCTGTCTACATTAAGATCCCAGCAATGCATAGATAAACTGAATGTATTACTGCATCAGCTAATGAGAATGGGCATGTTCATTTAAGTGCAACTGGTATAAGCATTCAGTCATCTTTGTGTAATGATTTTTATACAGACCAGCCACTCACTGTAAACCCATAGTTAAACTTGAATGTATAACAATGAAGGATTATGGCCAGTATTTTACAAAATTGCAGAAAATGTGTTGATTCAAAAACAAAAGAAACAAGGTACAAAGTTCAGCACAAAACACAGCAACAAGAAGCTGACAACTTGGCTAAAAATGTCAGAGTACAACACAGGGCCAAGGCTACCCATTATTTACTGTGTACTTACTAGAATTACATACTTCAGATGTATAAGTTAAGAGTTGATTACAAAATTACCTCTACTTTTGTCCACTGTGCTAAACTATTTTTTTTTTTAATATGGTAAATGTGCTATTGCGTAAACACTTCAAAGCAATCTTCATTACAATGCTGTAAAGAAAACTCCACACGCTGCATCCAAAACTCAGGATGTCAATGCAGTTCACAGTATGCATAATAAATACCCTCTTCCCTTTCAAATATTAAAGTCACTACTTTCTAATTACTCAACGTAACCTTGAAGCAATTACTACAAATATCAACAATGCAGTCAAACTTAATCATTTAGTTAATGAAAACAACTTAGTGGCAATTAGATTTGTGATATGAACAGTGCAAAGAAAAGTGTGGAGGGAAAGGGGTAATGTAATCCTACTGAAATAAATTGCAGTTTCTTATTAAAAAAAAAAGAACCCTGAAAGTTGTATGCTACAAGAACATATTACAAGCCAATATTACGTGTGGTTTGACACTTCCAGAAGAATTAGGACAATCCTTTTCAAGATAGAAACTTTGGGGACGGTTAAATTGCACTCAGTGTTTTCCTACTTGACCAGGGTAGTGAAGTGCCATTTTTTGAGTCAATGACTTGCCAAAACAAGTAAATGCAATCCACGCTATAGAAAAACTATCAAATACGTACTTCAAGGTTCTACTACTTCTATGTAAACTAGATAGCCCCTCAAAACTGTAACACTTTGAACTGCAGTGCTCCAAACAATTTAAGATGTCCTCCAAAATGTAAACTGTTTAGTGGTAAATCCTAAGCTATGCAGACTGTAGCGTTACACAACATCAGCTACCTTAGGAAAAATTAAGTTACACGATTACATTACTCTTCAAAGTTGTGGACAAAACCCATCAGAATACAATAGGCTAAAACGCATCTGTTTAAGCCAGTAAGTTTAAAGTACACAGATACCTCTGGCAGTATAATTACTTCTGTGTAAGGTAGCCATGGCCTATAATTTTGCAACAGCATCCAAGCGCAGGTCTTCATACTTTACTCATTTTAAGTCCCTTGTGCTAGCTTCCACCAAGATGAACTTGCTGTTTTGTAAACTGAAGTGCTCTAGTTTAGTATCACATGAGAGAAGGTTCCGTTTAAAAAACATCCTTGTATGTTTGTGCAGTTTAAATTAAAGAAACCCATCCCTGCCTTTATTTAAAAAAAAAAAAAAATGCTACATTGAGCAGGGATCAGGATCGGTACCTGTAAACATTGTTATTCCACTGCATCTGTTACGGCAAAAGTAACTTAGACTAAAAAGCCACTCCAATCAGTTCAGAACTTCTGTGCTGGTTTTGAAATGGTGGCCTCTGTCTACAGGCTTTAAAAAAAATTGAAGCAGAGCTTAAAGCTGCACCACAGAGTTCTCTTAGTCCAAACTCTGCCGAACATCATATGACATTTCCACATTTATGGACTGAAAAAAGAAATTACTCTTGATAAATCAAGATATAGTTCTATACATACAAAGACATCACTGATGTCATAAAGTTCAAACTTCCAGTGAAAGACTAAGCAAACCTGATAGCTCCCATCAAGTTTACTACTACTGCATAAAGTACCCACTGTTTGTTTAGTTCTCTGCAGAGTCATTCTGAGTGAAGGGCGGTATGTTGGTGTAGAGTGTGGGTGCTGATAAAACCATTTGTCTCATTTGCAGATAGACTGCTGAAGTCAGCCACTGAGACAGCCATTTTGGCACTGGTAATATGATGTGTGTGGTTCTCAAAGTCCACACCAAGGTTATTTACAGAGACATCATTCATGAAAGATTCCGGGACAGCAATTCCCATTTTCAATCTCTTTGCAGGTCTTTCTGACTCCTCACTGCACATGTTCATTGGGTTAATCTCCGAATGATAAAAGCCAGTCTCAAATAAATTAAAACAATCACTTTCACCATTGCTTGGCAAGTTAAGCAATTCTTCTGTTCCAACAGGCACATGATTAACTGGTGCTCGGGGTAAGCTGTCCATAGGAGGAAAGGCATCATCCAGGCAGTTCACATCGGAAGTGTGGCAAACTGTAGCTACACTATTGGTCAATGCTGAAAAAAGATGAACATAAACGCAAATAAAAATTATTTATATAGTTGCAACAAAAAGATATTACCTTATACTTAATTTTTTTCTTGATTTACCTGTCAACTCATTGGCAGTGATAGAGTTCAGAATGCTTAGCTGTTGATCAGGGATGGACTCCGTTCTACTATTAGATGTTAAGGCTGAAGAGTGTACTGCTCCACCAAGCGCTTCTGCTTCATCTACCAAGCGATCCATGTAGTCCCTAGAAGAACGTTATATTCATAATGGGTTGTTTAACACGAAAACAAGGCCTAAAACAAAAATGGATTTGAGTTGCCACTGCCACATTACACTGCAACGTTGGGAAGAGAAACGATCTTCTGTGGTCACAATTTACAACAGAAAACATATATACCAAGAATTTTATACTTACGTAACTCCTGGATGATGGTTGTATCTCTTCTTCCCAAATCTTGTTTGCTGAGCAAAGTAATCATAACGTTCTGACTTTTTCCACATGTAGTAAAAAGCCACACACTCTGGAACTGTTCTGGTTCTTACCTAAAGGAAGGTGAGAAGAATTGACAAAATAAATGCAAAGACTTATGTTTTGTCATCTCCCCATTCCCAATATTCCTAGAATATTGTTAGTTTTGCTATTCTAGGACCTGGAAAAAGCCAATTCAGTTATGAGATTTTAAAGATACGCACAGTTTCGAGTAGGTATTACATCTGTTCTACTGAACTAACTTCAGTCTTATGTAAAAAACTGATTAAAACCATATCTAGACCTGAAGCATTTCAATTCATAACCTATGTAATTTTATACTACACAACAGACACTCTCTTAAGAGGGGAAAAAACTCAGCAAACCTATAACCTAAGAGAAGTGAAACAAGAAAGCCTTTAGGCACTTCTCCTTTTGGGAAAGTTAGGAACTGCTGAGGCTTTGACAACTATCGTGCACAACAGTAAATGATCTAAACTACAAAACAAAATTGTAGTCTTGTGAGAAAGTATAATTTAATCTACATTAACCACTCATCTCTTTCCCCAAAATGGAGATCGCTATGCAAAGTCAGATTCTTAGAGAAGAAACCATTACTATATTCTTATGAAATATATTCATCTTTAGGTCCAGAAATATTTCAGATCATCACCAGTCCCTAGTTCTAGTATAATTTTTATTATAAACTAGAATATACAACTATATCCAGATACAGTCTGACAGTAAACTATGCTTATGTTAAGAGCTTGATCAAACTGATAGAACTATCAGAGGCAAGTCCCAAATGCCTTGGGTGTAGTAAAGAACCTTGCTAGTTTGAGAAACAAACGTAATAGATAGAGAGGAAACAAACTGATACTTTCCATACAGAACTGACATCAGCTTGTCCTGGGTACCAGAAACTGAATTAAAAAAGATCTTTCCCCAAACTTTCTGACATTTTACCTCCTCAGTAAAAACCCAATGGATTCCATAGACAAATTCTGGTCCATCGTGACAGATACATCAACGCATGTACTGTGTTGCACATTATAAAAAAGTATTTTTAAGTCTTTTTTTGCAACTCTGCTGAATTACTGTTTATTAGTAAGTTCCATTTAAAATTACAACTACCCAAATGTTTGCCTTAAGGCAGGTTCAGCCACTAGTAGCTGACTGTTTTTCCAACAGCAGCCACAACCCTATTAAATATTACTTAAAATAAGACAAAAAGGCAAGTCTCCTAAAGAAAAAACTCAAGATGGCATCAAAAAAGGAAATATACAGGAAGTTTGGAAACATTCATTTAAACATATTATCAGCTATACCAAATGATACATATTTTTGATAAAGAAAACAATCCCTATTTTTCAAGAGGAGCAGAGTCAATCAGAAGCAATTCAGATCAAGATTAGAACTCCTTCATCAGCTAGAAACCAGAATACTCACAGATGACTACAGCACTCTATTCTGAGAATACAGGCGTTAAGTCTGTTTCTGCAGAATTACACCCTTCTGGTGACTATGGCAAAAAGAGGTTACATCAAGATGTAACCACAGCCATTGTACGGAAATACTACACTTCGAGGAGAAGCGGACGTTTAAACTAAATTATAATAATTCCTAAGTGGTAATAACGTAAACACAAGTAGATTTCAGAGATAGCATACTGACTTGTCTTGCAACCCTTTCCAATGACATGAGATAAAAATTAGCATAAAAATAACAAGTTCCTTGTAATATGCTGGTTCTTATTTCACTCTTCTGTTAAAGCAATACACCTGTCAGAAGCCATGCAGATTTCTGGCATTACATCATCTACCAATTCTTCCATTAACTGTAGAACAGTTACCTTGTTTTTCTGTATGAGATGAAAGTCTTTTCCATAAATCAGAAGTGCATGTTCAAAGCTTCTGCATTCTTCTTCTGTCCATGCTGTCATCTCTTCTAGACAATTACAAAAGTAATATGATAAACTTACTTTCACCAACTAACCTTTCAGAGAAAGAGTAAAATATTTGTGCTGCTAATGCATGAAAATCCAAATGCACTGTAAAAAAAAAAAATGGTTCAGTTATTCAGAACCATGTTCTCTTCCCCTACCGCACAGATGCCCAACCTAAAATTTAACATTCTTGTTCAGAAATCATGATCTCTTACTTTTAAGTCTTTCTAGCATCTTTGAGGGGCAAGGCCAACGGGCATTTAGAAGCGTTCATTTTCTATTTCTTTTTAAAGAAACTTGTCATCAAAAATAAAAGATTTGAAAAAAAAAAAAAGCATCAAGATATCAAGAACATACTTTTTCCTGAAGTACCTCTTCTTACAGAGGATACAAAGAACAATGGTTTTTGGAAAAAAAGTAATACAGCAACCTGATTTAATTTTTCATAAAGCTATGGTTTCTAAAATTAAATTTCAGTTTTACAATTAAAAACACACTAAAAAAAGAAAAATAATCAAACAAGGGGCTGATTTACTGCATGGCTGCAGTATTTCATAACACATGTTTTATGACAAAGCAGTTCAAATTATATGAAGAGTCCAGTTTTGTCTCAACTATTCCAGCTTTCCTACGTTGATTATGGCTTTGCGTCTGGATATAATAAAGGAGGGATATTGCAAACATCTTAAATTAATAGTGGTGATACAAAAAGTTTCTGTTCAGCTGGCATTTAAAGTCAACGGGGAAAAACCCACAACATTTCAAAACATTTCTGGAAGCAGATACTGGAACGAAGACCTGTCTGCTCCCAGATGAAGATGATAATCACTCAGCTACAAAACCATTTTCTTTGTCACCCCATTAATTTTGCACTCTTTTCTACAGCATTCCCCAGCTTCAAAGAGAAGAGAGGGTTGCCCTGTAAAGTCTTAGAGTTAAGAAATTTGAGAAATGTGGATGTGAACTCTCAGTTTGAAAAGAGCATTAAACTTGAGTGGGTAGAACAGACCATAGCATAACGGTTATCCTAAAAGACAGGCAATGACAGCATTATCATCCCTTATCATATTTAACTAGGATATTATAAGACTCATTTGACTGTTTTTTTTTTCTTTTTTTCCCCTTTTCTTTGGAAGCATGAGTACTAGTTCTCAGGATGGAATTTGGGTTCTGAACTACAAATTGATAGAGGTACTTTTCTGTCCTGAACCAGGAATTTAAATCTCAGAGGCGTGGGATTTCAGACACAACCTTGTGACAGGTACTTCCTTATTGTTTAGCTCTACACAATCTCTTCTCACATGAGTTTTCTGGAACACCATTCTGCTACTCCTTATTGTCCCCTTCAGCCGTACCGTAGACGCTTAGCTTTTATAGCACCTAACCAGTAACCACTCAAGTCCCGTTTGGATCCAGTTCTAAGAAGTATGTGCTATGCTGTCTATTTAAGTATGCGCTATGCTGTCTATTTCTACCAGGGCACATAGTCTGCTTCAGCTTTATACAACACGTACATGTTAAAACACTGAACAAAAAAAAAAAAAAAATCTTTGCTAAATGGTAAACTCCATTTTTCATTTAAGGGAGTAGTAAAGTTAGGGAGAGGATGGAAGTTCGTTTTCCACTGTAAATTCAAACAAAGCTCTCCTCACTTTACCTAAGACCTGCAGAACTATATGAAGGAACCAACTCAGGCTGGAGTAACACAATGTACTAACAGTATACTGCAGTATCTGTGCAGTGAGGAAGAAAGTGGGGCTCGTTTATATAGGCAGCTATGTTCTCCTGATTCTGGTACAAATGTTGTTAGATTATAATTGACCTGATCTCAGAAAGTACTGTAATGTGGATGAGAACTGCCTTGTGGGAAGCAAAATCATGGCTCCCCTTTCCCGCTCCCCTCTCCCACTCCTTATCTGTGCCATCTATCCCAGCTCTCACAAGAGCAGTACAGGGAAGGTGAGGATAAAAGGTATAAAAGCTGATCCTGCAACCTTTATACAAGTTGCCAATTTCTCTAGCAGGAATTTCCAGCTGGCCAACAGTCAGAAAATATCTAATTTGTGCCAAAGACAACATGCAAAAGGACATGCTTGTCATTCCAATTCTTACTTAAGGTTTTTCTACACAAATTTATTTTATTTTTTTCAAACAGACATTTCTGAAAAGTCAGGTATTCTCTATCTTACCCTGAGATGCCCTTCCATTTGAGCAGTATCTCTCAATTGCTTCTTTAACATTATGGCTACTTTTGAGAAGTTCATAGAGTGCCTACAAAATAGAAGAAAGTCTTTTTAAAGAGTCAAAGTTTGCAAATATCCAGTCTAAACTTCTGAAACTAGCTTTCAGGGAGCATGCCTCATGTCAAAATAGAGACTTTGTCATTATATATGATAAAAGTTTAAAAAATAAGCAAAAGGAAAACCACCCAAAAGCTGAGGCAAGATTTAAGGAAATGTAAGATCTTATATGCAATTATTTAAAAAGTTAGATTTATTAAGAACATGGCAATGCCAAAAACAGACTGCACATGCTTACAATTACAAATAAGACTCTGACCCCATTAACATCTAATTTAAAAAAAAAAAAAAAGTTGAGTATTGCTGCCTTTACAGTATAACCAGAGAAAAAGAACATATGCTAATTACAAACCAATGTGTCACAAATGGAACAGGATACAAAACATACTTGTTCATTGTCCCGTGTATGTATTCCTTCAGGAATTCTGCCAATCATTTTCTCATTTCCTGTTCTCAAAGAGGTTTCAAAAAGGTATTCCTTAACTTTGCTTTCTGAGATCACATCAGGTTTCCAAAGTAAATGGTCTTCATTTTCATATGCTGTTAAAAGAGAAATCCATTAACACCAGGTATGACATTTTAAATACTATAACATTAAAAAGCCATTTCACAAGACAAAAAACAGGAACACAGAAGTAGTCAAATCAAACACCATCTTGCTACTTGTAAATTGCAGCTCACTTTTTCCCCCAGAAGCCTGAGTTAAGAGACAGACCCTACAGTGTGGTATGGTGAAGAGATTTGGTTCCCATTAGGAGGGGATAAGGGACTGAGCTCTACAGATAGAGAGTCTTTACAGACAAGCAACTTGTTGACAGTTAGACAACTCAGGTCAAATTATGTGTCTGTACACACCATCTTCACATAAACAAACTAGCAAAACCACTCAGTTTTATTCACCTGTTTTTAACAAATAAGCTATAGTTTACAGTAACAGAGTAGGTTATTACTTTGATATTTCAGACATATGTCAGAAGAAAAAGGAGAGAGGTGGCTAACTGGTCATTTTCAGCATTTCCCAAAACTTAGTGGAAAGTTTAGTGTTTGCCAAAACATATATTAATATCTACATACATATATATATACATATACATACATACACACACACACACATATATATCTCTCAACATATACTGATATCTAGATATGAATACTATGATTTCTTGTTCTGGTCATTAACAACTAGCCTTAAGGGCTACATTATAGATTTTAAAGGCTATCAGGATTTATACTCCTACTTCAAAGAACACTGAAATCACATGTGGATCTCTTAAGTAGCATATTTCAAAGACAATATATTGGAAATATACAAAATTTGGCCTGAACCTTTGTCAGTCTATGCATACGTTTAAATTCTAGATCAAACTACATGTTCTTTACTCTGATCAATGGATGTGATTAGCATTACACATGATCTTTCACGTACTGTTAACGATACAATATTTGAGAGTTATCCAATTCAACACACACAATAATCATAATGCCTGTTACAGTAAAAGAGATGAAGAGAATCAATCAAAAGTGAGAAATAAAATTGTGTCTCCTCAAAAAGTGCTATTATGGCTTAAGAACAGGGAAAGCTTTCAAACAGAAGCATTACAAGTGTAAGGCTTAGAGAAGAGCTCACTGCCATCTAGGACAATTCCGGTAGCTGTGAGTACACAGCAAATATAAAACCTCTGCTTGCCATCACCAGCTCTTCATGGAGCATGGAAGAATCTTCCACAGAATCACCATTACATAGAAGTCTATGAGTTCTCAGTTACAGCCAAGTAGTTCTAAAATCCCAAAGCCTCCTGACACTCAGCTTCGACCTCCTTTGTCAATCAAGACAACTCAGCACTTTCTAGAGTCCACATCTGATATTCTCAATAGGAGCTGCTCAGGCTCTCCCAGCTAGGGGTTACCTCTTTGTTCTTGGCCATGCCAGCGTACAAGACTCTCACTGGTTCTCTCTAGCACCCGTTCATTCCAGACAAAGTTGTCAGTTAAGCCCTTCCTGCTCATCCTCCGGCTATCGGCCCTTCTCCATGTCTTGGCCAAGGACAAGTAAAAAAATGAAAATACTTACAGGAATATCCAGATAAATCCTGGTTTAATCCTCTGTCTCTTACCACTGGTAAGCATTCTGCTTGAATCTCAGAAAACAGCAAACTGCCCTATATCTCTTATGCAAAACAAGAGATGTTCACCTTGCTAATGCTTCCAACTCTATATTAAATGTTATTCCCTATTGCAAAGGATTGTTATTTGAAAAGCATTGGATAACGGTGAAAAGGCTTGAAATGTTTGACTAAAATAATACTCTCATAAAATGTTAGTTTGAAAACAAGTAATGTAGAGGATGTTGAAAACTTTCAGGAAAAGAAAAAAAAAAAGAATGCCCTTTGTTTATTAACATATCCCCCAAAACTGTTCCTTGATTTCATGGCTGTTCCACCCATGAATAGATTTTTTCAATGTTTATTTTTTGAATTCCATGGCTGTACATGCTATGCTTTTCCTCACAGTAAAGATTCTTAAAGATACCTAACAAAACTCTTATTAAAAGCTCTTTTTTCCCTCATCCTATCACAACTGCAGTTTTAACCCAAATTTATACAGGAATAACATTATATTTATGACATTGTACTTTATGAAACACAAAATATATCACAGGGCTTGCACCTTCTGCTTGTGCTATGGAATTTTAAAATAGTTTATTGCTTTATGTTTTTCATATCCGTTCTGTAACCTATACAAGTTAGGCTTGCCAAAAAGCAAGCAAAGAAAAATATTGTTTTGGAGATTTTCAATGTAAATCATGCTCTTAGTCCAGTTATGATCTTCTGAGGAAAACATATCCTTCTTGACCCATTCTGTTTGTTGTCTCCTAAGATTAATGGATACTTCAAAATTAATGTTGTGTTCCCACCCGCTCCCCAATGCCTTCTTGAGAATGGCCTCTCAATGTTTTAGAATCATATTTCTGAGAAATAATCATTTGTGTGTCTCCAGTTCTCTAGTACTTTTTTTTTTTTTTTAAAAAAGGTCTCTGATACTTTACCTAAGCCAATGACTTTCTACCTTATAATTAAAATATATACATACTTTTTCATCATGGCTATGTGTAAGAATAAGATAAAAAGTAAAACAATCAGAAGAACTTACCCTTTTCATCATCACTATATCTGCCAAGGTAAGGTGGAATTTCAGCCTGATACTGTGAACCAACCATTATTTCCTGAAGATGCAACAAAAACAAAGCTATTCGTTTAATATTAAATGAATGCAAATATTAAAAAATACCATATAACGTGGCGTTCAGCACAGAATTCCAGAATTAAGGTACTAGGTGTACTATAAATCTTTTTTTTCTTAGTAGTAAAGTTTTTATTTTAACTTTTTTGTAGAAATAGTCATTACCTTTCTCAAATCTTCAGAGGAATTGCCATTGTCTGCCTCTACATCTTCACCATCTGATTCTTTATCTCCATCACACGTAGTGTTTGCTTCAGACATATAAAGAAGTGGGTTTTTAGCTAAGAAGAATTTTCAGTTCAGTGACAGAACTACAAAAAACTAGTAGATAATTTTTTACTTTTGAAAGGAGCACCTGTTTTTATTCAAGGAAATACTGATCAAGAATCTGTTAATCTACATTTCTATCAAACTACAGCATGAAGTCAGAAAGTGCTGCTATTTGTATACTGCAGAATTGAAACATTTGCCATCACTGCAACTGAGACAGTCTACTATATTTCTAACAGTAAAAGGAAATGAACTAACTTTCCTTCATCAATTTTTCGTCAATAAAAGCTTACACCTTGCAGAAAAGGTATAAGAGAACAGAAAAGTACCAGGGCTATGAATTAGCCCCAGTTAATCACAAAGAAAGTAACACTGAAGGCAAGTACTTATTGCCTAACAAAACCTTTAATCAGAGATTTTAACCGATGTTCAAAACATTCTTTTAAACAAGGCTGCGTCAACATGAAGATACAGCAGAGACATACAAAATGCATCAATCAAAAACGCAGCTGACTGCTTATTCCTCTTTACTCCCCCCCCCCCCTTGTGAGGAAAGACACCAGAACATTCCAAGTAACTTAATACAGTACTTCACAGAGTAAATCATATTTTAGTCTCTGGAATGCTACGGTATCAGGTTCTGAAGTAAATATTTTTAAAGATTTATAATCTTAAATAAAATGGAATCTACGGTTATGGTAAGATTAAAGCTTTTCTGTATTCTTAAACTTCAGTAATAAGACACTCATGAGTATGGTTGCAGTTTTAACTTCTTCCTTCCTCGTGACTAACCAGAATGGTCAACACCCGAGACAATATTCTCGATCGTATGGACTGATGCTTTTCTGCTGTAGTCATTCCTACAATCACAGGTCTATCTCTTTTTGCTGTTAGAGTAGCAGGTCAGAAGCTAACATGAATACATGGTCTAACATGCCTGAATAATCATACGCAACTATTTTTTCCAATTAATCCAAGTTTAATAAGATCTCACAAATTAAATGTTAGAAAGGCTTATCTTGCAACTTAAGTTTATCTCAGTCTCAGAGAAACTAATAGGGCTGGAAGAAAAAATGAAATTGCCAACAGCACAGAAAACTGACTGTTCTCTCCCTGAAATAGTGAATATTGGATTTTAAAATGTTCAACCAAGGGTCCTAATACAGAAAGAGTAACATCCGAATAGAAAACTTTGGTAGCAGAAAACATAGATGACCTAAATCCTCAGAAAGATGAGGGGCTAATCAGTTTTTTTCCAAGAAGCTGCCACATTTTCAGTGTCCTATTCATCAACGGTTCACAAGCGATATTTAAGTGCCAGCAAGTTTGGGGTTTGCTTAAGAAAAAAAAGAGGCATTACCGTTTATAATTTTTTTAGATCTGTCTTTCTATATGAATGTCTTACACTATATAACCAGCAGCATGGAAAGGACTGCAACTGGAGGTGATTCAGGTAGCATATCACCTCCATCATCCCTCCTCCCTAGAAGGAGGAAGAGCTGACAGAAATGGCTCAAGATACTTTTCAAATTCAAATCATTATAAACTCCTCCATATTGCTCTAATTCCAGGATACCACTGACCTATGCAACTGCAACAGGCAATGAGGAACACCTGGCCCAAACTGGATAACTGCACTCCTGGTTCTCAGATCTTGCCTGTAACAGTTCCATGGGCGGTAAAACTTTAGCAGTCTTGGGTTCATGGGCCGAATCCCATAATACACCACAATGAGGTCCAATTGCACGCTGTTGTATGTGTGAAGGGAAATAATACCACAGAGAAACCATAGCCCAATTCATGACCTCAGATTGAATGGAGGAACCACTGCCTTAAAAAAGCGGCAATAATTTTAGTAGAGGAATACTAATTTAAAAGAATGGTTACGTGTTCACGTCATTCAGTAACACATCAAAACTCATGGAGTGTGTTCCTCAACACCACATTAGCTACTAATTATGGGAAGTTATCGTATTTGTAGAGTTATTAACTGTATTTTTGCTTTGAGCACAGTATCAAATATAGGTCTTTTAGGGAAGCGGTTAATACCAACCAAAGACAACATCCATGGAGAACATCCTGCAAAGTACTATTCCTCAACTCACAGTAAAGTCAGTAGCATACTGTACTTTCGATATTTCAAGCTAAAAAGTTATATAACATTGTACTGAGTACTACTATAACATAAGATTTCCTACATCTTAACGGTCGAGGAAAGAAGTCTGTAGCCTCATGTGAAGTAACTGATGGTGTCAAGTCATCAGCCGAGGACTGTGTTTCTTCATCATCACCTGACAAGAGGTCTTTGGCTATTTCCTCCTGTATCATTAAAATAACAACAACAAAAAAAAACCTCAAAATGACTGCTAAGCATAAACTAGTACACATTTAGATTCAGCAAATCATAAGGCCCATTAATTAAATTGTTTTACCAAAACTAATTTTAGCCTGGACTCCCTTAATATAAAAGCTAGTTCACTCCTCAAACCTGAGAACAAGTAGAGCCATTCAGTTCAGAGCTGAACACAGGGATTCTTCATTCCCCCTCCCGCCTCTATTAAAATAAAACATACAAGAAGCAACTTCTGCAATCATTAATCTCAGAGGTCCCTCCAATTGCCTCTAATGAAAAATGCCAGTGGAAATTGCTTCAAAACTTAAAGACTCGTCACACTTTGCATCACAGATCTATCAAAACTGTAACAGGCTGTTATGCTCCTAAACTCTGGAAAAAAAAATAGCCAAGAGCAGTTGTACATGTTCACAGAGAAGACAGTTACAGACATTAGACAACCTGTTATCTTCCCAAAACACACAAAAAAGGGAGATTTCTGTAGGTTAAAAAAAAAGGGGGAAGAAAAAAAGAAGAAAAAAAAGCACACTTCCTCCATTAGCTGACACATTTGAGCCCCTCTGTATAGAGGTTAGGGAGGGAAAGAACTGTATTAGACAACAAGCCGACCACATTTTTGTAGCCTCAACACAATGGTGAATCCTAATGAGAATCAGATGTGCAGAGCCATCATTATACGCTACTTTCTGTGGAGTTTACTATTACATCATACTTACAGAAAGTTAAAAAAAAAAGATAAATTTAATATCTACAGATTTTATAATCCAAACTACTAGCTGCACATGCCTTATAGCCAAAAATCAGATTACAGTCTCAGAATTTAAAATCAGTCTGCAAATCACAAAAACTGAAGTTGCAGGTTTTTACATCAGCAATGCAATACACACAGTCATTGCAGATAAAACAACTTCTCTCTTGTTCCCCAAAGTCCAGAACTTTACAAATGATATGTATTTGAAAGGAACATTGCAAAGCATTCAAGAGTGCATTTTCGAGTTATCTACATAAGTTTTCATGCATGACATGCATGCTGGAAGCCAGAACTATTATTATTTCTGGAGTTTGCATACATTAAAATAAGATGTAGAGCCTTTTCAGAAAAATCTCATTTCTCTCTTTTTTTTTTTTTTTTAATAAATATATTAAGTTCTTTAGATACATTCTCAAAGACCTGTGAACTTATTCTTCTCTCATTTGTAGTAATATAGTGCCACTGAAGTTGTTATGTATTTGCAAGTGCAATAAATACTTTAGAATTAGATTCTCAATGTCCTTGAAAAAGAATGAATTCAGAACAACACAGTAATTCTCAACTGCAAATTAAAAGTGTCAAAGATACGTATTTTGTAACATTAAGAGACAGTGAAATATAATTTGAGGTCACATGGGCTTTTGCTTTTAAACTGTAATACAGGGGAGAATGCTTCTGACTTACTTTATCTAACGTCATATCTGGAAGTTCATCTGCAAGTTCACTTGGAGAGCTATCTGCACTGGAACCTGCCATAACTGGAATCGTGGGTTCATAGCCATAGAATGCCAGTAAATCTTCCAATGGCATGTTTCCTTCCTAATACAAAAAGATTTACAAATGTTTCATCACTACGCCAAATACTTGTAAGCAGTTCAGGTCTAAAAAGACAAGATGCATTTTGAAATACAAAAGTGAAAAAAAACAAAGGAAAACCTAACTGAAAGTAGAAGACTTCATCAGAATTTTAAACTATTCTCAGGCACATGACCGAAATAATTCATAATTTGGCGTACAGTGAAGTCCTACCAGGTTATTGAAGAAAACTGTTTACTGGATAAACAAACGAACAAGACTTTTTCCAAAGTTAATCAATTACAGTTTATTTTTTTATTTGAAAATTTGCTTATCATCTGATTCATGTGACAGAGCATAAGTGATTTACTCATGCTCCTTCAAGACAGAAAATACACAAATAGATAAATATCTCCAAGATAGAAAGTACAGAAATGTAACAACCCCTCTACAACCAAGAACTGCAGAAAAACGTGAAGACTTTAGTCCTACAGCTTACAGTTACAGTGTGCACTCAAAAAACCCACAAAAGCAAACCGTTACAGCAACCTTTTATTCCTCCTTTCCATCTCCTGCACAACATATTTAAAATGACTGTTGAGAAGGTGATAGGAGAAAGACAGCTAATGATACAGAAGGTAAAAATCGAGCGAATGACTTTGTTTATAATTTGTTTTTCCAACAGTTTTTGATTAACCCATTTTGTTAAATGTCACCATACTATACCTCTTACCACAATTAATAAACCAGCAAACCCTGGAGATTTATGTGTTACCTGATTCAAGCCATGAAAGAATTAGAAATATTTCCAATATTTATACCTTTAAAAGTTGTATTACCTTTAAAAATTTCTTGTTGAACTCATATACTGATTAAATTACTTGTTTTCTTTAGTCAGCTAGGTCTTAGTCCTGCAAAGACTTTTCACAATGGGTAAACGTAAACTCATGTCCAAGTCTTTCCAGGATCGGGACCTAAAGTAATAAAGTGTTTAAGATGAGTGGCTCTCAGTTCTTTTTCCTTGTATTACTGAAGCAATAAGATCATTTTGTGGAGTAATAACTCCATTTTAATCACCAGAGTTGGCAAACTGCTTCACAATTATAATTGCAAGTTCATACCAGCAAAAACATAATTGTTAAGAGGAAGGTATCAGGACAAAAACCTAGTAGCATAAACATTGTCAATTCCACATTTAGAAAATATTTTTTTACATTAAGTACATAAATACAGCTTCAGATTTGATTCTAGAAATTACAATTTCCTGTAAGTTTTTTGGACCAAAATCTGCAGTTATGCTGAGTGATGTAAGTGGGTCATTGAACAGTAATGTAACTAGCATCAATTTGTGGGTGTTTAGCATTCAACGAGTGTTTAAAAGGGGAGACACACTGGAATGGATGAACAAGGGGTTTAACAGGAAAAACAAGTAATTAAAGAGTGTAAAATGGAACAGGAGAAGCCAAAGAGCATGCTGGTCATTTTGTGCACCCACCAAACGCCAAATTCATGAAACTGAGCCTGAGAACCACCATTTATGCAAATGTACATGATCCATCATGCTTAAAACAGGATTGTTTCTTTGCAAATTGGAAAAACAGAGACTGAGCAACAGAATGAAACAAAGCCAGCTGTCACTTAATGGTATTTGCAATGTGTAATTTTAACTTAGTTTCAACTTTTTAAAATTAGAAGTGCTAAGAATTGATATGAGATAATATCACTCTCAAACCAGCTTCTGTAATTTCTCTTCCAGAGTGAAAGCCTTATTAAATGAAAGAGAAGAACTGAAAACAAACATAACACTACTACCTTTCTGAAGCTAAATTCAGCCTTTTTGTGAGGATGCACCACTACATCCTGATTAAACCTGATTCAAAGGCATCTTGCAGGCAACTGCATTACGCAATACAAATTCAAGAGCAGGCCGAGCGTACTTTTCACTAAAACAGGTGCAACGCATACAAATGTTTAGGAGAAGGTAAATCACTCCTACCTTTTCTAAATCTTCAATTTCGGAGCTGAAATTTTTGCTTTCTTCCATCATTTCCTCTTCTTCGAGAGTTCGCTCATCATCATAATCGTGTACCAGCATTTCAGCAGAAGGGTCAAAGTCATGATCCTCAGAGGATAAAGAGCCAACTATCAAAAAAAACTAATTTGAGTCATTTTTTTCCTACACCAACACACGAAATTGCATTACAGTAGAAGACAAGGTAACATGCATTCTTCTACATACAGGGTCAGAACTCTCAGTGGAATAATGGGAACCAATTCCTATCTACTTAATAAATACAGCTGTTTTAGGTGACCTTCCATTTTTGCATTTGTAAGTAGCAAATAGGTGCAACTTTTTCTCTTGCAGTATACAGTAGTTTGAAACAAAGTTTCAGAAAGTATTTTCCCAAATTAATATTTTACTGAATAAAAGGAGTGTCGAAAACATCACTGAAATCATCACTAACGTAGAAAACATACACGTCACAAGATTTAAAAGGTTGCAAGCATGTCAACTGTGCCTTATTAATCAGAGATTGTGATTTGTAGTCTTTGACCATATTTATATGATTTACAGCTATGATAGCCAGTGTACCTTTTCACTGGTAAACAGCTAATGGGTTGGGAATCAGCTTCCTAATACCAACAAAATAAATAGTGAAACTCCCTGCAGATTTATTTAGTCTCACAAATGAGATATTTTGTTCAAACGAACTCAACTCTAGTACTTGATCAAGAAAGGAAGAACAAACATAGCAGAGCCTCAAGTAAAATAGAGGAAAATATGACAGAAATAACAAAACCCTGGTTATGGATCACAATAATTGACAAGTTATTGTGACAGCTCTGTAGTTCAACACTTTTTCACTACTCAGGAGGCTACTCATAAGTCATCAAAAGTGCTGTTCTTATTTTAAGGGAATTTTATCAACTGTTGGGAAGGTTATCATTACATTCAACAACTTCTAAAGATGCAAATATTCTGCACTTCAAAGTCAGTGTTCCCAAGTGAAAATTACCGAAATAACACTGTTGTTTTGTTCTTTCATGTTCACTTTCTTATGGCTTTCAGGATGGAGAAAACAAAGAGATTAGGATATTTCTCTTTCACTTCTCGTTTCCCTTTCTAGTTCTTACATGCTAGTGCTCTGTTGCAACGTTTGGCTTACAAGCAGCAAAGAAAAGGATTATTAAGTATTATTTCCATATGAGATCTTCTGCACATCAAGGAAATATCTACAAAGTTCCTTCTCCTAAAAAAAAAAACAAAACAAAAAAAGCTGTATTCTTCTTCACAGTACTTCTAGCTTTTGAAGAGACACTAGTATACACTAACACTTCTGAATCTTAAAGCTTAATTTTTAGCAATTGTGCTAAGCGTATTCCTTATATGCAAGAAATACAGGTAGATTTTGTTTATCCAGCTTGGCTAAAACGATACTGTGAAAGTTCACAGTACCAGAAGGGAAACATTCAGGAGAAAAAAGCTTTTTATTCACATGCTATTCATATTATAGTCTCACAGAACTCTCAACATAGTTGATAATACTACTGCAATTACAATAATTACATTTACACAGGAATTTTTCCAGGGTTGGATATTACATCCTGATTCTTCAGCTTTTAAAGAACTATCAACTGTTTTGCAGTAATCTTTCATGTGTGTGTGTATACACACACACACATATAATTTTATATATAAAAGATCACTACTAGATGGTTATTATGTGCGTATGTGCGTGCATATTATCAAGAAGCCCGAATTTTACACAAGCCCGTAGCTATCAGTAACGAGAGACGAGGCCTCCCTCTGCACTACACGGCTTTACTGAGACGCTGACGTAGAAACACTACAAAAACTTTGTTCTCATTTATACGGCTTTGAGCAACTGGAGTTAACGGAAGAACTCCTCAACACACATCGCCTTCTTTTAAAAAGCGGGCAGCCTGAAGTTAGCGACGTGAATACGAAGTACTTAAAAAGCCACTAGGCAGGAGGGGATCCCTTTGCACAGGAGCAGGAAGGAGCGAGCGGCTGCGGGCGCGGAGGAGCCCGGCGGGGGCCTGGGGCCGGGCAGCGGCGGGCGAGGACCAACCTGGGCTCGAGCTCCCGAAGGACGCCTGCGGAGGGGAGGGAGAGCAGAGCAGAGTGAGGAGCGGCCGGCCCCCCCCGCCGCCGGGCAACCG